GTGTGCAACAAAGCTCGTCCAGAAGGATCTATTGCTGAAGGTTACATTGACAATGAGGCTCTCACTTTTTGCTCTATGTACTTTCATGAAGGTGAGGCAAGATTTAATAGACCTGAACGAAACTATGATGGGCCTATTGAGGCAGCACAAGATGGAAATTTGTTTGTATTTAGGCAAAAAGTTTGTGGATTAGGAGCTGCAATTAATGATGTGTTGAATTTAGCGGATTTGAAAAAAGTTCGATGGTATGTGTTGAATAATTGTGATGAAGTTCGACCATATATGCTGTAAGTAAACTACCATATGATTATATTCACTAGAATATTTTACTTTTTGAATTATATTATTTTCACAACCATTTATGTCGAATAATGTTGTTATAATTTATAGGCAATACATGGATGAACTTGAAGGACAAGGTTTGACAAATATGGAAGAGAGGCTAGAATCAGAGTTCCATACATGGTTTCTAAAATATGTAAGAGTTATAATTTTTTAACATTATTTGTGTATTGAAATAATGAATTTAAGTGTATGCTAATGCATTTCATATTAACAATGGAATTAGGTCACAAAGCTGCAAGTTCAAGGGACAATGGATGCTTCCAATCAACTTATGAACTTAGCTCGAGGTCCCGATTACCGAGTGACATGCTACAATGGTTGTATCATCAACGGGATTCGGTTTCGCACTCAAGAATGTGACATGTACCGAAAAACTCAAAATAGTGGCGTGGTTGTGAAGGGAGATCATAAAGGGAAACCTATTGATTTTTATGGTGTTATTAGAGAGATAATTGAGTTGAAACATCTAGGTGGGAATAGTGTATTTCTTTTTAAGTGTGATTGGTGGGATGTTGGTAACGAAAAAATTGGAATAAAAGTTGATGAGTTTAACTACATTAGTGTAAATGTTACGAAGACTTGGTACAAAGATGAACCATTTATGTTAGCATGCCAAGCGGAACAAGTGTTTTATTTGCAAGATATGAAGTGGGGCAATAATTATCGAGTTGTACAAAGAGTATTACCACGGGCTATTTATGACATCTTAGTGAAAGAGGATGAAGAGGAAGCGGAAGAGGAAGAGGAAGACAAAGACAAAGATGAACCATACCAACAATTTGATTCGTATGGACTTGGGGATGTGGTGCACATTGATGATCAACCCATAGAATTATGCAAAGAAGACATGGAAATGATATGTGTTGATATTACTGGAGAATTTCATGAGGAGGAACTTGAAGTTGATGACGAAGTGCTCATTAATGATAATAATGCGGATAATGATGACACTAACATGGATGATCAAGTTGATGATGATATGATTGATGATGATAGTGATCCGGGAGATGAAATTGATGAAGATTATATCTATTGATGAATATTTTGTCCTGTTTCCAAATGGTTTCCATTTTAACATCATGTAAGATTTATAATTGCTATTGCTTATTTCCATTTCAAGTTTTCTTGTCAAAAAAAGTGTGCTTTGTTTTGTTGCTCATTTCATTTTAATATTTTGTCTTGTTTCCAACGTTATCATATTTGTCCTTTAAGATGGAAAAGCTTGAGAAAAGATACTGTGTGCTTCTGTTTCTAACTACCTTATTTTGAGGATGTATGCTTTGTTTTGTTGTTTGTTTTTAGTATCATATTTGTCCTTTAAGATGTTGTGTTTGATGTTCACATTGTAAATTTCTATTGATCATAGGGATCTTGCGGATTTTAGGATGGGCATCAATCCTGGACCCCCATCATGAGTAGAAAGGAATTTGAAACTCGAAAAGCTGATCTATGGAGGAAGAGTGCAACAGAATCTGTTGCTGCAAAGGTACTATCAATAAGCATCATTCCTTATTATCTATTAATAAGGAATCTTTAGTAATTTTTGCAATTCCATCACTGGTGTCATGTTTAGACTGTTTTGCAATTTCTTCACTGGTGTCATTTTTTGTTTGAACCTATAACAACTAACCCACCTGATTATGTTTGAATTTGTTTTAAGCTAACCCAATTTTTTTGCTATTTTGTTATTTATTATCCTCACTTGGCTTCCACTAAAAAATTTTGTTGTTTTTCATGTGATATGATCAGGCACCTGCCCCTGCACCTGCAGCTACTGTAGAAAAGGTCCTCAAGAAGACAAGTGCAAAAGTGAGTGTACAGAAGGGAAAAACTCTTGAATTAGTGAAGGAAGTGTCACTGGATCCTATGGCTGAAAAACTTCGCCAAGAAAGGTATGGCAGAAAAAAAAAATGCCTCAATTCTTTTGCTTTACATTCGAAAACTTATGACATTTCCATCTTGAAGTGCATAGCTACAGTTTGGATTCATGAAAATGCCTCTGCATGGAAGTGCACAGATATCAGGGGTCCAAAGTTTCAACAATTTACATATACTGTATAAAAATTTTAATCGATTCCAGTTCGAGTCATCTTGAGATCTTTATGACTTCAGACATCAACCTTTGCCAATACAATTTCAATATTTTTAAAATTTAATCTCAACCGTGGCCAAGAAAACCATGAAAGAGACTAATCTACAAGAAATGCATACAGTCAAATATAGTGTTTCCCTTTGCACAATGTTTGTTTCTAGTTCTGTTAAATACCTCGAGTAAGATAATGTGAAATTTATTATTATTATTATTATTATATATTTTTTTTTTTTTTGGTACTTTTAGACAACGGCATTGAAGAATTCATCAACTACTGGGTAAGCTAGGAAACAGCAAAACTTTGCACACAACTGGGCAAAGTAAGCTCTAAATTCAAAAACGAGTCAAATGGAAATGATGTGATATAAGAAGTTCAATAAAATGCCTGAGATGCAATGTAAGCTTGAGATATTTAGAAAAATCAACAGAAAATTACAGAAACAGAGTAAAACACCACACTGAAGAAATAATGTGAAAAATGCTGAGACACACCAGTTTGACATGACATAAATTAATTAATTGAAGGAAAAAATAGGAAACAGGGATAGTTCAAACATATGCAACTGAAATCCAAGATCATAATTGGATCTTCATATATACTAGAACAATTCTTAAAACACAGATGTACCTTTATCCTATGGTAATGCTGCCTTTGCGAAATCGTTATGATTTTCCCAAAATGAGATTTGATCATATCTTCTTCCATTGGCCCCGGCAAACGTTGAAACAATTGTCTGGCACTGCCCTGTATGACATGAAGCACCAACAACCAACAAAGCAGTTAAAATAAACTTGAACTCAATGGTTGATGCATCGTGCCAAAAAGCAGAGATAATTGATGTTAAGTTTGACTTGACAGGAATGATGGGGAAAACTTTTGAATAAGATAAAAGGAAGATAATAAAGAATATTGCCTTAGGAATGCCGGGTAAGGTAGACGGATAGGGTTGAGAAGACCCAGAATCTTCAGCACTATCAGCCCCATCACCAGCAGTTTTATCCATTAAAATTTTATGGCGTTCCTTACATTCCTTGGGCTTGCAGCATATACACTGCACATATTAACAAGATAAGCATATCAAATGCAAAGCAACGTTAGATGTTTATATAAACACACACAAATGCACATATACACATAACAGAACAAACAAAGAAAACCGAATTGCAAAAAATTAGCAGCTACATCTTTTTATGTAGCAAATTGACTTCTTTTTATCACTTTTATTGTTCTTGTTATTGATTTTTAGAGGTAGAGGACGGGGAGGCTATGTGCCCAACAAATTAGCAGCTACATCTTTTGCATCTACATCAACTCAGTCAATTTCTTCATTTACATCGAAGTTTGTGCCCCCAACAACATCGGCATCAACATCTGCAGCTGCATCAGCATCAGCATCAGCATCTATGCATGAAGTTACTTCACAATCTTCATACTTGGATACTTCTAGCATGGATTGTTGTATTGCTGGTAGGTTTGTAAATATTTAGTTTTATATTCTTTTTTGGTTAGTTGTTTATTCTTTTCATCCAATTCATATGTTAGACATTGATGTGTTTTTTCTATATGTTATTTTTAACAGATACAACTGAGCGTAAGAAAGGACATGGGAAGTCATGAAGTCTCGCATTACTCAAGATAAAAAGTCAAAGGAAGCGATTGGATGTTGAAATTTGTAGGATTACTGGGAATCCATTGGGACCGTGGTCTGATAAATTCACCACCGAGTTGGGGAACGTCACTAGGCAATTTGCCCCACAAAATGTGCCTAAGTGGAGTTTTATTAGCATCGAGGATAAAGAAACGCTAATTGCATACCTTCGAGTAAGATAATTTTTTTTTAGTCTAGTTTAATATTCCCTTTTAGTTTATGAATTATGTTGCTTAATATTTTGAAGTGTTTAATTTTATTGGTATGGCAAGGAGGTTTCATTTTTAGTAATGAACCTTATGCTATTGCTTCTATCCTTGGAATGATGAAACTCCGGTACAAGACCTACTGCTTTAATCTACGCCAACATTTTAGAAGTTTTCCTACGATGGAATCAGCCCTTGCCAACCCACATGAAGATATCGAAAAAGAGGTGTGGCGATACCTGTGTCAATTATGGGATGATAAGACGTACCAGGTAATTGTTGAACACACTTGTAATGCACTTGCACACACTTGGGCTGCTGATGATGCTACAGCTGCTACTGTGGCGGAGGCTGCTGCTATGCATGTACCTGCTATTGTTACTAAGCATTTGGGCACATGGACTTGATTTCTTTTGAATATATTTTTACACTTCATGCAGGAGAAATGTTAGAAAAACAAGGAAAATCGGTTTGAGCTTACAGTCCTCCATACAGCTGGCTCAAAGGCATTTAGAAAGGTGCAATACGATGAGGTAAACAACTGACCTTTATATCATAGGGTCTACATGGCACTTTTTTTATTTCTTTTATTTGGTGATGTATGTACTCCATAGGATACTAACTATAAAGGTTTTGACAGCGAGACAAGGATGGAAAGGAGCTTGGACTTGTTGATTTCTATCACAAGACACACTTTAGTCAGAAAAAGGCAAGCATGGGTCCATAATGAAGCTGAAATTAGACATGTAAGAATTTTCTAATGTTAAATATAAGTATTTTCCTATTAATGATTACTTGACTAAGGCTCATGTGTTGTGAATCTTTAGCACTAAGAATGAATAATATAAATGATTAGGACTAGATCATCCAAGGGGTTTTTGAGTTACAAGTGGCTACTAGATTATGTCCTTGCTGCCCTGGCTGTGTATTTGGTATTTGGCAATATAGAGAAGGCTACCTATTGGTTACTTGCATTGAGAACTACTCACATGTTCTTAAGTTTGGAAATATTGGATCCTGATTATGAGTTTTGTATCCATTGAATATTGCTTGTGAGTTTTGTATCGATTGAATATGTTTCTTACTTTATTCAAAATAATAAAAAAAAAAAGCTGGCTTATTGCAAAATGTATAAACATTGCAACATTTATTGGGATTACTAAGATTTAATATACTTTTAAGGAGTTAATAGCTGGGTTGCTATTGAATTTAGTCTGGTAATCTAAGAATGGTTGTGTGGCTTAGGTTCATCCTAAATTTGTTACAATAAGGACTTGCTGAGACAGTAATTATGATGGCAAGGGTTGTCTAAAAGTGTTGGCTACTTATCTGAATTAATTATGAAAATCCACAAAGTATAGGTGCTTAGGATGTGTCAGATATATATAGGATTATCAAAGAGGTTTATGTGTTATTTGGGCTAGAAAGTAACAAAAAATGCTTCAATTGTGGTTCAATGCACAAGAAATGTTGAAAACATAAATTTTTGGATCCTGTCATTTTTTTGAGAGCTTACAATTTAGTTGTTATGATGGCTTAGTTATGACATTTAAAGACTTAAACATATTATATATATATATATATATAAGGAATGAGGAAAGATCTGAGAACACCCTATACTTGTGGAAAGAAAAGATTTAAAACTGTACTTTATGATTTGCAAGTTTCTATCCTCGCTTTCATTTTTCTTGAAAGTTCAAACAAGTTACATTAAAAAATATTTTGATTCCACTACTTGTTACTTGACTCAGACTTGCAACAGTCAATTATTAGACATTTTTGTTTCCTCATGAAATCATGTTTCTATAATGCGGGTGAGTTTAAATCCAACTTATTTTTAGGAGGAAAAATTGTGTGGCTCTAGTTGGGTATGATTTTTCAATCTGTTGTCTATTAGTAGATACATAATGCTATTGTTGGTTTCCAATGATTTTTGTTGAAAAAAGTCTTGAGAATTTTCAAATATCAAGTTTTATCAAGTCTTTAATAAAATTTTCAATTTATTCATGCTAGATTTAAGTGTTGAGAACTAGGCCTATAGAAGAAGCTGTAGGAAACCTTAGTTCAAATCTTCATAGGATTTTTATGCAAAACCACTTGATGATACTAACGAGTAATGACTTTACCATAATCCTTCACTTCCGCATTGTACGTTTTATTTATTGGTGTGCTTATTGTCTTGAACATGTTTCTTTGTGTATTTGGATCTGTTACAATGTATATATAAAATGACTATATTTAATTTCATGAACAATTGTAGAAAAAACTTAAAGAGCGGGAGAATGAAGCTATAGAAGATGGATCTAGCCCACTATCTGATGAGCAGCTTTCCATTGAGGTGTTGTAGACACCCCATTTTTGACCGACCTTAAGACTCAGACGTCACCGATTGAGCGCTTGGTGATGTTGCATATCGTGCTCGTTCAGAGGTTTCAGAGTCTCGGCTGCGAGCCTTGCCTCCGGATTTCCGGACTCTTTTGTGCTTTGCCTCGGTTTGCGAACCAAGCTCTGTTTTCTCTGTTTTATCTTCCCGAAGGGAGAGAGAGGTCTCGTAGATCATCTCTCAGTGGCCGTAGGCTACGTTTCATGGTTGTAGGCCGTTTTGCCCGTTTGAAGTCCGGTTTCCGATTTTTCGGAGCCGTTGGCCGTGTGCCTCGATTCGAGACCGCTTAACCACCTCCGTTCGCTCCGGTTTTTGGCATACATCATATTTGCTCCCTTTTGAGGGACACTGTGGCTCGAGGAACCAATTTCGTGGTCGAACACCACTTCCGGTGCCCAACAGTCAGTTTTCGGGGCCTCGGGCTGCGCATTTCGGCCCCCGAACCTTCGTTTTGCATCGGTTTGGGTTAATTTTTGGCAGGGACCTCTGTTTCATTGGTAAGAAGGTCATAGAAGGATGGGAGGCCAGTAATTGTTCAGACAACCAACTTTATCCCTTCATCGCCCTCCGTCGCCCGATTTTTCTCACTTCAAAGCCAATGTTGACCACCCTTGGGCCATTTTCTTGCACCCTAAACCCCATATTTGTGATGTACACATCTGGGAGGCCACCAATATTTGGTGGCCATCCAGTAATTGCTTTTGAACCTTTTGAACCCCTTTGAAAAGTGGGTTGTTCTCTCTCCTGGTTCACTATCTCCAGTGTTTGACCACATGATTGTGTTGAGCACACAGAGGAGGCCACCAATATGTGGTGGCCGGCCAGAAATTGTTCTTGGACCTTTTGACCCCTAGCCGACCGGCCATGGGAAGTAGCCGGCCGACCACCTGAACCTGGATAACCAGCCGACCTTGCTCCTTGTTGCAGGTACATTTCAAATATGCATCTCTTTTCCCCCCAGATTTTGTATCCGGGGGGCCAACTTTTTGGGGGGAAACTTGAATTCATTTCCCCTCCATTTTTCCCCCCTTTTCTCCCCCTCTTTTGCCTATAAAACCAGCCTCCCAGCTCTGGTTTATGGGTTAGAAAATTTTGGTTTGGAGCTCTCACACTAAATCTCTCTCTCTCTCTCTCTCTCTACTCTAAGCCTTAAAAACCCCCTTGGTTCTTCACCAACCCATAGCCCCACCCTTCCATCCTCCATTCCAGCAGCTTGAGGTTGTTCTTCAGAGCCTAGGAGTGCTGCATTTTGGTCCAAAAGGCTGTCAAAGATTAGTCTTCAAGGGTAAGTCCTCTTCTCCCCTTTTTGACCCTTTTCTTGGTTCATATTCTAGCTCCTTGTGCTTAATTTTTTGAGCTCCGATCCTAACTGAAAATAGCATTTTTTTGAGCTCTATTTCATGTTTGTTTAAGGGCCTCTCACTGTTTGAGGCTTCCTTGTGGCACTTGCTTCTTTACCTTTCTTTTATGCCATTTCCTTGCATAGTATTTTAGGCTTATGTATAAACTGTTTTGAGGCATGTTGTAAACTGTATAGTGGCTTATTTTGAGCCCTTATTCAACATTTTTGAAGGGCTCATCACTATTTGAGGCTTCCATTTGCCACTTTCCTTTATATCTCTCTTTTGGCTCCGTTTTTGCATGATTTGTTAGCCTCTTGTGCTTCTATTTTTGGGCTCTGGTCCGAACTATAAATGGCCTTATTTTGACCCCCTATTCATGTTTCATTAAGGGTATTTTACTGTTTGAGGCATCCTTTTTGTACTTTGTGTTATAGCTCTCTTTTTAGCCTTGTTTTGCATAGTATTTTGAGCATGCTTGTGCACTGTTTTGGGTTTGATCATAAACTGTAAAAGGTCATATTTTGGGCCCCTCTTAGATATTGTTGAAGGGCCCTCATCTGTTTGGAGCCAGCAGCTGCCACTTGCTTCATTATCTCGCTTTCGGGGCCATTTTTGCATGCTAGCTTAGCCCCATTTTTGTTCGCTTTTTGGCCTTCCTTAAAACTGTAAACATGATTTTTTTGTGACTTTCTTGAGCCTGTATTTACATTTCATGTTCAAATAATGCATGTTTTGTATAGCTATAGGTCATTGCATATGCCTAGTTTCGTGTTTCGGGTTCATTCCGTGCATCGGGTACGATATTGCCATGTTTCGGGGCTGTTTTACATCACTTTTTGCTGCTGAAATTTGCATGCTATTATGCCATATTCCATGTTTTTCCATGTCTTGTTAGAGTGGCATTTCGTGCCTTAGGGTCGGTCCTCAGTTTGCATGCACGCGTGCATGCATCTCGAGTGTCTCATTTTCATCTTATGGCCTCTTATGTGAGTGTGGCTGAGGTCCACTCATGTTGGTGTAAGTCCATTATGCATTGTGTATGCCATTTCATTTCATAGCATTGCGTATGCTAGGTTGTATGTTAGCGCATTGTGTATGCCATGTCATCTCGTGCATCGTGTATGCCATTTCATAGCATTGTGTATGTTAGGTTGTATCTTAGTTGCATTTCATGCATGTCATGCGTATTGCATCGTGCTTGGGATAGGAGTTAGCCCGAGCACGGGAAACGAGGTACGTTTCGTACTCCGAGTGACGGAACGTGTCTCAATTCCCCAGTCACCGACACTCCAGATTATCCATGATGGAGTTAGGTTTTAGTTGAGTTTTCATGTGCATTCATTCTATATTGAGTTATGTAATTCGGCTCCTCGGCCATCATGCATCGAGATGCGTGATTGGTGGCACGAGGATCGAGGCATGCATACATTTGTGAAAATACATTGCCATGCCCTTTTCCTGCTCTCTGTTGCAGTAAATCAAGAATCAGTAGCCTTCCGGAGCTTGACACGCATTCCAAGAAAAATTGCAAACAGAGGCTAATTGGGGCATCGTAGTGGATTTCCGCATAAAGCAACCCGGACATACATCACTACTCATCTAGAGAAGAGTCAAGACAGTCCTTGGCTTACATGCCAGTTTATTATTTTTCTTAGTTAATTTGTAAATTAATTAGGGATTTGTACATATTTGGGCTGTATTATTTGGACTGTACTATTTATTTGGACCCTCTGTGCGAGAGCAATGTTGTAATAAGTGTGCGTGTATGTGATGTATGTCTTTCAACCCCACGTCTTTCTCCCTTTTATTTACCAGCTTATAATGGTTAGATTAGGGTATGTTTCAATTAGCATACAGTATGGCAGCATGTTTGCATCCTTCATCTGTTTTGCATGCACCGGGCTTGGCGCATCATACTAACTGCATTTATATTTCAATTTCGAAGTTGAATACTTGTTAGCTGTTGCATCTCATATGCCATGTTTAGAATAGCCGAGCCTGCTATAGTTGCATTTTGCATGTGTTGCATTAGGCATTTCTGTATAATTAGGATCATGCATGGATTTCTAATTAGCTTCTGTTTTGGCTTGGAGTACTCAATGAGTTTTATGCTTTAGCATCCTTGCATACGTGTGAGTGCTGGCATGAATAGCATGCTTACCATGAGGCTATATGCTTATGTGATATAACTGCCTGAATGCCTTTGGGTGAAGGTTGGGTTATTTGAATTGGAACAATTCATCAAATGCGTGTTTTAAGCCCACTAGATAGTGGCAAAATCATGTTTTTCTAAGCCCACCTGAGGGTGGCAAATCCACGTCTTAGCCTACTTGCGAGTAGCACCATCAAACCATTTTCAAACAAACAAACATGAAATGTTTTGTTCCAATCCAGGCGATCCAGTCTATACTTGTATGCTGTGCGCATCACATAGTAAATCTAGGCTAATAACTGGAATAAGAACACATAATATTTTCAAAAATAGATATCATGGTTAGTAGAGGCCGATCTTTGATTGGGCGAGCGGGGTTGCTCACGAAGTGACCTTCCCCAATCGTACCCAAGTTTCCGAGCTGAGGTAACTTTGGTGATGACGGACACGTGGCCTTAGGCAACGAGTTAGGGTTTCCTAAATTTTCCAAAAATAAAATATTTAGGTGGCGACTCTGTATCTGGCAAAGCAGTCCATGTTTGGCACTTCTTTCAAAAAAATCTGTTTTCTCAAAACGATTTGCCGGATTTGGACTCTTTGGTTCAGACTTAGAACCATGACAAATTTTAGAGTCCTGAGCTGTAGTGACCCCAATATCGAACGAAACGGGGGGGACTCGTTCCTCCCTGGGGCGTTCGGGGGACGTCCACAGGTGTTTGGGCGTAAGTCTGGCTACATAAGTGGTTTAGGACGTGGTCCTAAACCTAGTATAACAACATCCGGTCGACGCACTCGTGCTGCTCTTGAGATAGAAAATGAGGAAACTAGAAGGGAGCTTGAAGAGCAACGGAGAATCAATGAGGAACTGAATGCAAGAGTGCACAACTTGGAGTCTAATAGTGTGGAGGTCAATGCCAAGATTGATTTGGTACTGCAACAGATTAGTCGGGGAGGTTTAACTTCTGATTTACCATCATAGTAAGTACCTTTTGCTCTAGATAGATCTGTCATATTTATCAATTTAGTGTTTGTTATTTAGAACATTTTATTATGATAACGTGCTTAGATTATGATAACCTTATTGTGTTGATTCTAGGGAACTCACTTTCTTGTTGTGTTGATTCTTATTATAGTTGATTCTTATTATAGCTCACTACTACTCCAAGTACACTGAAATAACGTGTTTTTTCATTATTTGTAACTTATTTGATTATGAATGACAATTGATTATTTAATGAGGTTATGTTATGTTGATTCTTATTATTTGATTTTTCTTTTTGAATTTTGGATTGCAGGGATGTCCAAAGGGTGTCACACCTAAGTACAGCTTGAAGCCTCTTGTGCCAATGCTGTCTGATATAAAGCCTGATATTGATGTTGAGAAAATGTTTTTTTAGAGATTCTCTTTGAAGAAACTATTGCTATTCTTCATTTAAACTGTTACTACTTTGATTTGAATTTGGAAACTTTCAGTTTTAATTTTTGTAAAATTTTACTTTCTATATACTCATTATGGTTTGGGAATAGAGTGCGTTTGATATGTGAATGTCAATTTTTTTTAAAATATGAATGGATGACATTTAATTTTGTGCATTTTAAGCTATGAGATTAAATGAATACAAAATTTTAATTTTGATTTTTAGCGACGAAAATATGTTGTAGAGAAAGTTATATGCCTTTTAGCGACCAAATATCATTGTCATTAAAAATGTCATTATTTTGTTTTTTGCGACCAAATTGGGACATTTTATGACGAAGTATTAGCGACCAAATGTTTAGTCTTGTAAAATTAAACATTTTGTGACAATATAAAATTGGTCGCTAATTGTCATTTTTAGTGACATTTTCAAAAATTTGTCGCTAAAGACTTTCCTAGACGCACTTTTAGTGACTGTTTTAGTGACGGAATTAATTTTGTCACAAAAACTATTTAGAGACCAAAATAATAGTTTTAGGGACTAAAATAATTGGTCGCCAAAAGTTTTATATGTTGTAGTGACTTATATAGAACACTAAATCCTAATCTTAAACGAATACATCACTGATATAGATTTCTAATAGATATAGAACACTAATTCTAAATAGGAAATAAGAATAAACTTAAACCAATCCTAAATAGGAAACAATAAGAATAAACCTAAACTAATTCTAAATAAGAAACAATATTCACATAATATATATATTAATATTATTCTCATACCAATATGTTCTGGCACCAAAGAAAGAACAGTTTATCGACTAAGTATACTGGTTGGTTTGATTCTGGGGTCCTTTTCTCTGCTTTTAAAATTTTTCTTTGGTCAGCAAATGAAAGGAAAACACAGTGGTTATGGAGATAACCATGACATGAGTTTTTTCATTATTCTATTATGTTAGTTTTAAGCAAAGTGGTGACTTTTTTAAATCCTCTGTAGGACAGTTTAGGATCCAAGTCTAGGACATCTCAACTGATTTCCTGCCAATATTTATTCTGTTGTAGCATTTGGTGACATGGATGCTTGAATACAATGCAATCAAAAGTTGCATCTTCTATATGAATGTTCTTGGCAGTTTGTTATCCTAATTATCATTTTCTTGAGTAAGATTTTCTGAATATATACTTGCATTTTTCAGAGTTACCATGGAGTAGTTTTGTCTGTATCAATTGTGAAATCGATTCCTTGATGGAAACTTTTTGAATCAAAATGATATATATATACACTCGATAATTGCTTGGGAGGCATCGTCACATTTCTTCCCCCTTTATTTTTTGTTTTCATGTAAATTTACCATTGAGTAGTTCATGCTTTTATGATTAAAATGGAGTATTAGTCAAGTTGGTATATACCCAACATACCCAATACGTAGTTCTAGTTCATAAAAGAGATACCATTGAGTAGTTCATGCTTTTATGATTAAAATGGAGTATTAGTCAAGTTGGTATATACCCAACATACCCAATACGTAGTTCTAGTTCATAAAAGAGATACCATTGAGTAGTTCATGCTTTTATGATTAAAATGGAGTATTAGTCAAGTTGGTATATACCCAACATACCCAATACGTAGTTCTAGTTCATAAAAGAGATACCATTGAGTAGTTCATGCTTTTATGATTAAAATGGAGTATTAGTCAAGTTGGTATATACCCAACATACCCAATACGTAGTTCTAGTTCATAAAAGAGATACCATTGAGTAGTTCATGCTTTTATGATTAAAATGGAGTATTAGTCAAGTTGGTATATACCCAACATACCCAATACGTAGTTCTAGTTCATAAAAGAGATACCATTGAGTAGTTCATGCTTTTATGATTAAAATGGAGTATTAGTCAAGTTGGTATATACCCAACATACCCAATACGTAGTTCTAGTTCATAATTTAAATATATATATATATATATTATAATTTTTTCCTTATTCAAAATTACCAAAAAGTTTCAAATCCTATAAAAACCCTAATTTTTTTCCTTACACACGCACCTTCATCACTACCTCCACCTGCCGACGCCACCTGTCGGACCCTCCTCTTTTTTCTCCTCCTTTTCCAAATCTAAAACGCCAGGTCTCTCTCTCTCTCTCAAGTTTTGTCCCAATTCTTAAAGAATGTTATGAATTGAACTAAATTTACAATTGGAATTATAAGACCACAAACACAATTTGCCCTGTTTTTGTTTCACTAATAATGTCATTGTGAAACTTCGAAAGAGTATCCTCATATGACAACGATCATGCAACATTATAGGCAGGCATTCTGTAAAATTTTAGATTGTACCTTGAAGTTTTTTTTTTTTGAACGGCAAAGAAAGAGACTAAGATTGTGCCTTGGAGTGATGTTATTTGTCTATTAAATACTTGCACGAAAGGAGATGAATACAGGTTTAGGACAATGACTTATTGTGCTTATCATCAATGTCACTGATTATTACCTTCCCTGCTTTCTGTTAATTGATTTCTTGATTTTAGAATTTTACTGTTGATATTTTTATGAGCAAGTGAATTTTATGTTTATATATATGTTTTAAAGTCTCTAAATCCCCACAGCCTAACCTCTTCCTATTTTTCCAATAAAGACATATGGCTCAATATATACTGCTAGTTTTATTAATTGTTGTTACTAAGGTGTCGTTTGATAATATCACTTTTTTGTCTAAAGTTAAAAAATTATTAAAAAAATTAAAAACTTAACAACTTATATTAAAAAGTTAAAAATTTCATTTTCTCATTACTTTTTGCATATTTTTTTGTAAAAAACTAAAATGTCATTCTAAACATATTAGTTTTTTTTTATATCATATTTTAGTCAAAAAATTACTAAAAAAACATGTTCCCAAACGATTTTGAAGTAATTACTACTATTCTTTGTCTAAGAGATGATTAGCCACTTATCACTATAATATATAAAAGTTTTAGAAACTATTTTTTTTTTTTTTCTTCTTTAGAAGTATAAATTTTATTGCAAAAAATATTTAAGTACTAATTTCAGCTGTCGCGAGAATAGTCGTTAAAAGGTCATCTCCAAAAGTCAAAAAATGAGCTTTTAGGGATAAAATTTTGAAAATGTCGCCAATAAATACACTTTTAGAGACAAAATAACTTAATCCCAAAAAGGTTTTTTTGAGACAAAACTTTTGGTCCCAAAAAGTAAGTAATTCATTATTCAATGTCTAATTTTGTCATTAAAAATAAAATAATAACATTTTTGACAACAAAAATATTTTATCATTAAAAAGTGATTTGTTCCTAAATTTTTATTTCTAAAATCTTAATTTCTTGTCGTGTATAAACCACTAATAGTCATTTCACTTTTATATAATAATTCAGGAAAATACTATGGTATGTGTATCATATGTACCTTATAACTATAAAAGAAAAAAAGTATAACTCCATACTTTTTGAGTCGTAACTCAAAAAAAAAAATAAAAAAAAAAAAAAAAAAAAAAAAAAAAAGTTATAACCAAACACAAATAGATCATAACTAAATATTTTAAAATAATGTTATAATTAAAGGAGAAAATTGATCATAAATAAAGAAGAAAATGACGTAATTAAAATATATATAGGATGAGAAGGTGTATAGTACTCCAATAATTCATTGATAAAAGCTGGCAAAGAAGAATTGATCACATTCTTTACCTAAAGCAGTAGTTAGGATTTCAAAGTTTGTTGACTTGAATTAATTGAGTAAAAACCCCAGCAACCAAACTTCACTTTCAAATTTTTTTTTTTTATTAGTAAAGAAAAATTTCATTAACAGTATGAAAATTTTAAAGATACTTATAATTATATGTGAGAAATTTGGAGTCATTTGGCAAATTTTGGCTTACAACTTAAAAAACAAAAAAAAACAAAAAACAAAAAAAGGGGATTGAATTTGTGAAAATAATTTCAAAATGAATGTTTTAGTGATATCTCAACCAATGCTGATAAAAATAAAAATAAAAAGAAAGAAAGATATCTCAACCAATCCTTTTATTTGTTTTGGTTATAAGCAATTCCCAGCGAAAGGAATTCATTCCTTCAAGAGAAAATTGTACAGATTCTATTGAACTTTAAAGGCGATCATCTTTTATTGTTCTGTCATAATTTCAAAGTTGCCCTACTATATAGGATTTACTTTTGTCGATAAAAAATAAAAATAAAAAATAAAAAAAGGATTTTCTTTTGAAGAATTGTGCAAGACAAGCTTTTGCTTTTATGTTTTGAGTCTTTCTATATTGGAGAAACATTAACGACACGAAATGCATAAGAGGGTAATTGGCTAAACCACGCAGCCTCTTACAAAAATTTCTTTTGATTAGTGCTAACTAACCGTACTTTTTTTAACCCCCACCTAAAACAGCTTGAACTTAAACTTACACTGAAGTATTAGAGTCTAAATTGATTGAGCTTAGAGGATGGTGGATAAGCCAATCAGATAAAATTATGAATAAATTAATTAATTACCCAACTTTAGCTTTTGTTCGAATTAATAACCATAAAGCAATCACACGATAACATAATATTTTTACGTGAAAAACCTAAAAGCAAAAAAATTATTGTCCCAACACTCAAATCATATCCGCTATAAACACAGATGATAAGACTTTACAAATGTTTACCTAAGTTTGACAAACTCTGATGACTAGTAGACGCTCCATGAGTACGGTTTGTCTCAGTCAGCTTTCTTGATCTTTTGAACGCCAAGGGGTGAGTTATTCTATTTCTGACTTGGTGTTTAGGATCAAAGCTATTAAGGTTTGCTAGTTGCTTGTTATGATTGTTTCTTGGGTTGCTGGTAGTTGTTTTGTTTTCTGTTTGGTTGATATCTCCTCAGCCTTGTTGGTGTAGGTGCTGAATATGATTAGGTGAGTCTTTCTATGCCAACCTAGTTGGGATAAAGGGTCTTCACTCTATACTTATAGCACCTACTTGGTTTTTATCTTTACTGACGTATAATGTAAGAATTTGTTCGTGATTCTTATTCAATGAAGTTTCTTTTTGCCCAAAAAAAAAAAAAAAAAAAAAAAAAAAAAAAAAAAAAAAAAAGAAGATGTGCCACGCCTTGATTTTTGT